AATTTTATAATTTTATAATTGAGTAAATAATTCTTGGCAAGTGTAGTAACTTTCCAATTTTGAAATGTTATAAATTCTAACGAGACACGTATAAAAAATAAATGTAGAGTGTGTATATGTGTTGATTTTTACATAGCTTTTGAAACGTGGTTTAATTTTTATTTATTTATTTTTTTTTTTTTTTAGTGGGAAAAGGTCTTATTCATCGCTTATTGGCTTGGCTCGTTATCTTACTTAATTCCATTGATTATTCTATTTCCGTTCTCATAGTTTTTTGCATTTCTAAAATCATTTTGGACGTTTGGCATGTAGCAAAATAATTTATATTTATGCATGAAATGATAATATATTACCTAACAGCAAATTTTAATATTCTGCTTCTCATTTATAAAAAAATTGAGTAATGTGTGTTAACAATATATAGTTATTAATATTAATTGTAGCTATGCCAGTGTAATATGTTATTAGCCAAATTATCTAGTATTTGTGCTTATAATTAGTGAATGATAATTGATGAATATATATCATAGGCATGTCCTGCCATATGTAACTAAAAATTGAATTTTTTTTATATAGATGTGAGCATAAAATAATCATAACAAATTATATTTTATAATGTATTAAAGAGAAAATCCTGTATTATATACTTTATTATATATCAGACAATTTTATATTGTATTTAGTCCTCCCTTTAACTTTGCAATTATGTGTTCTTTCTTAAGCTTAAAAGAAACTAAAAGTCATGCATGCATGCATTGGGTTTGAAATCTTTAATGGAATGCACCAGCACTGCTTGTAGAAGATCAGTATCCTTGAGCAACAAACTCTATGGATCATCCTACCAACATGGACATACAGAAAAATATATTGGATTACTATTTTGGAATAGCTTTTTTCTTCAAAGTAATTAAGCAAACAGGTATTGTTAGTTGATATAATGACTTGGGTATAGTGTAGTATGCTTTTTCTAAAGATATGCATGTACTTTGATATAATCTTAATATGGACTTTTTTTTAAATAAGCTTTATGCTAAGAATGTATTGTGCAACTATTTCATCTTTAAATTGCTACTGGTATTGTATAATCTAAAACTGTATAATATGATAAGTATATTAGAGAGAAAATCTTCCCTAATTTCATTATCTGCTTTATATGGATTTAACTAAATTTTTGTCATAATCCATTTATCTTGTTTCATCTTATATAAGAACTTATGTTCCATGATTCTTTACATAACAGTCTCCCACTATATTTTGACAGATAAAATATATAGAAAAAGTTTTTCTCTTACAGAATGTGTTATTAATTTTGATGTTATAAATATTATATTTTATTAAATAATTATATAATGTTATTGTGTATAATATTTATAGTTAAAGCTCCATTATTACTAAATTTTCAAATTTTTGTACAATAGTCAGCTTTATAAGACACAATTGGGTACAATAAAAAAAAGAATTAAAGATCAAGGAATAAAACATGTGAATATACTTACAGGATAAAATGGATGAATCCAAGAGCATGCACAAATGAGGCATATATTCCTACTCCTATAGAACATGTGGCAAATGTGGCAACTCATGGAATATGGGTTGTGCCATCAGTGATTGGTGGTATTGAGCTTATACGGCGTTCGACGACATGGGCTCAACTTGTGTCCGCATGTGTATACGGCACTTCCTTGATTCTTGTCTTTGTAGTGTCAACCTTTTTCCATAGCGTACACTACTGCAATCATAATAGGTATGATCATTTCTTTTTTTCTTTTCAGTAACTTCTAATTCTTCAATCGTTATATGTCAAAAATAATAAACAAGATATATTGATCACGCATAACATTTCAGACATTTGAAGGATGCGTTACATCGCTGTGATCGTGCTATGATATATATCTTCATAGCAGCCAGTTATTTTCCATGGTTAAACATTGAACACTTCCCAGACGATGAGCTTTTATTCGCGATGCGATACGTTGTCTGGATCATGGCTATAATTGGCATCCTTTACCAACAAATCTTCCATGAGAAATACAAGATGCTTGAAACTATTTTCTATGTAGTTATGGGTATTGGACCTAGTGTTGCAATCCTTAATGTTGTAAGTAAAGCGTTTGAATTATCTTTAAATTGAATTTCGTTTCAGGCAACATAAACGGGAAATATCTTTTATTCGCGCAAACGTGATTTGGACTAACTCCGTTTAATAATGTTTTAATAATTATTTTAATAATTATTCGGATAATTTTCTCACCTATATAATATTATCTTTACAGTATAACTATTACAATATTACGGAATTAAAACTGGGCGGACTGATATATGTACTTGGCTTAGTATTTTTCAAATCGGACGGTCGTATACCTTGCGCGCATGCAATCTGGCATCTTTTCGTGGCCGCGGCGGCTGGATTTCATTATTACGCGATCCTAAGCCACGTATTTCCTGAGACAGACTTGACGAATATTCCTGGAGCATCCAGCAATATGCCGCCGTTAAACATGCTAAAGTCTCATATAGAGTTATAGGAATTGTGTACTATTTTCTACAATATTTCTTCCAGATGCTAAAAATTCTAAAAAGCGTTCTACCAATTCCAGGGATAAACCCTATACATATTCTGATAGAGAAATGTATCTTTTATTTCTATTCACATTTGGAGAAGTTTTTTTGATAAAGATAAATTGATTTCATAATCGTAATTCTTATGTCTGTACTAGACAGTCGGCTTTTCACGATTATTCCAAATGTCAGTAAGCAAAAATCGTGCAATGTGTAAAATAATATATATTAATATATTTATATCTAAAAAAAGAAAAAATGGCGAATTAAAAAGTTAAGTACCTGACGGCCACACATGTATTATGGATGTTTAAAAAAAGATAGTTATTAGCAGAGATATTAATGTATAATTCAGTTACTATATTATTTGCATTACAAGTTCGAATACAGTGAATATTGTGTCTTTCATATGATTTAGTATGCTAGTTTTGAAACCATTTATGAATGCCAAATTATTATATAAAAAGAATATATTTATCAAACCTGTATTATATATTAAAAATGATACAGACATTATTTTTGGGGTAAATGCTCTATTTTGTTCTACATTGAGTTTTATAAAAGTCTTTACATTAGGATTTACAAAATATAGACACTAAGTATTAACTTAGTCATGAATGGAAACCCACCTTGACTGAATATGCAATCTCTTTGCTTTCTACCAGAAGTGTCAATCGTCTTTATGTTTACAGATGTATTGTGCCAAAATTAAAATCACGTTCGTGACTATCTAACAGGTTTCCAATACACCCATATATAGATATATATAGGTACAATATAACTGCATTTATATTGTTACTGTATGGTTCAATCTTTATATATAAAAAAAAAGACAGAATATTACTTGAATTACAGTAATTTTGCAAGTATTTTGGTGTGTAACTATGAAGAAGAAGGAATATTCTCTCTCTCTATAGATAATTACAATTATCAAACATTTCACACATAAAACATAGTATGTTGTACAACAATGGCCTTAATTATATTATTACTTGATATTATTATGAAAATATTTATATTACATGAAGTTTGATCTGTTATTACTGATTTGTATATTAATTAATAATTATATTCCTAGCAATTGTTATAACAAATGTAACAATTGTGTACATATTATAAAATATATTTATATCATAAATAATTTATTTATAGTACGTTCATGTAGCTCTATAATTTTATATAATAATATAATCTGATTTGTATTTACTTATTTATATAGTAATTGTATATTAAAATTAAATATGCATTACATACTCATATGTATGTATATATAGCATATATATAACGTATGTACAGTATTGACACTGTAAAGCATTGTTAAGAATGCTTTTATAAGAACATTAATTGTAATAGGACATGCGATATACATATGTATCGTGATATTGTAAGAAACAAAGTACAAAGTGATTGGTTATGAGTTTATTCACACTATGTATTTTTTGTCCTTGTAATTTTGCAGTGGACCAAAGTATTGTAGAATAATATACAAAGCAAAACATGTAGCATTGCTGTCATTGATATGCTTTCTTGATATGAGTGTGTACTTCTCATAACAATGAAAAATAAAGAATTATATATTGGCGAAGAAAATTGTTTATCATTCTGCAAAACAGACATGTTATCGGTAACAGAAACGATAACGGACTCTCATTAGTCATTAAAAATTGCGTGTAAGCACGTCAACACCCCCGAAGGGTTTCCATGGTAATAATAGCAAACAAAACGAGAAAGAACGGCCGACAATGGATATTTCTGAGATCGGTCATTATCGTTAAACTGGTTAAACACTTTGGGATCTCGATACAATAACGTAATCATGAAAATTATTACGCGCTCGTGCTTTTTTTCGCAATGTGAAAAAAATTACAACTCTGACAAATTTTTAATAAAGCAATAGAGCTTACGCGAGCGATCCATTTTGTGCCATAGTCATAATAAAGTATTTGGATCGCATGCACGCGGCGGTATAGCATCAGTGATAAAGTAAGAAAATAAAATATGGATAATGTTACGTATGATAAGACCAAAAAAACGATTTTACCCTTGCCCGATAGCACAATTGAAATGCCATCGTGGTTGCTGGAAATGACTGAGTATGTATAATATTCATATAATATATATAGTGATTTTCTTTTTTAAAAATAAACTGCATTTTGTTAATATTATCCTTTGTATCAGCAATGTAGGAAAAATAAATGTAGATAACGATGCCAAATCACTACAAATGGAAGCATTTTTGACTGATGATCAATATTATTTTAAAAATTCTTTTCTTGAAAAGGAAGCTGATGATACGTAAGTTTTGTGTATATCTTGTATTGTTCTTAGAAGATATAAAACAATAAAAAAAGTGATACTTTGTTTCAATATTTATAGAAATACAAAACCCATCGCATGCTTAAGTGATCTTTATGATGTCGACGACAATATTAAATTACAAACGTCTGCGAGCAAATCACTGCCAAATACACCAAAAAACGGAGAAGTTAAACAAACAAGAACACGCGCCTGTTCTGCAATTGTAAATGCGAAACATCGTACAAGAGACGATTTTCGCGGATTAGATGCATATTTAGAAAGAAAGCAAACAGAAATGCACAGCAATTATTTAGCATCTGACGAATATTATAGCAACAATGCGAGGATTTGCGATAAGGAATCTAATTTGGAATATTCTACGAATATTCAGGATCGCGCGAATACACGATTACATTTATTGGACGACAATTATTATTCTAGCACCAGTTCTACCTTCAGCATAAAGAGTGAAGAAAAAGCAAAATTGTTATCTATTCAAGAAACTTCTAAATCCTCTAGTTTACTTGAAAACGATTTCGTCAAAAGTATAGATCACACATCAAATAATGATTTGCTAGGGACAGGTCCATATTTATCTTGAAATCTTACAATATTTTTTTTTGGAGGGTGCATAAAATTAAATCTGTCTTTTTCACATATATCTATAATGTGTTTTGGTAAAATATAACTTAATTTACATTATTTTTAGATAAAATTTACAGAAACTTTATTATTCCCGAATTACCATCCGGAGACTCGTTAGTTATTGATATTCTTTCTACCTGGGGCGACAAATATTACATAGGGCTCAATGGCATTGAAATTTTTTCAAATACCGGAGAACCAGCTAAAATAAAAGAAATCTATGCAGATACGAGCATTAATCAATCACTGGATAACAATCGTAACCCTCATATTGTAAATAACTTGATTAATGGCATTAATCGAACGAGAGATGATGCAAATTTATGGTTAACGCCTTATACAAGTGGTGATCATCATTATGTTCATATGATATTTGAATACACGATTACTGTAGCAATGATCAGAATATGGGTAGGGTTCTTTACAATAATCATGAGTTAATATATAGATGTAGATGTGTATATAAAATACGTTTTACTTTTAATATTTTACTTCTGTTTCTTTTTTTTCTTTCAGAACTATAACAAATCCAGAATACATTCTTTTAGGGGAGCCAAAGATATTATCATTAAACTGAATGACATTACCATTTTTGATGGAGAAATTGCTAAAGCGTCAGGGGATGATATGGGTAGCCTTGATTCCTTTGGTGATGTAAGAAATTTTATCGATAATAAATTCTAAATTATATAAAAAATAGTTCCAAATTTTTTAATATTATATAAACATATTACATATATAATAATCTATTAAATTAACAACACTATATGCTTATTCTCTGTATACTCTCTCTTGTTTTACATACATAATATATAATTATGTTTTGAAATTAATTTTTTATGTATAATGCATAAAATTAATGGGGCTGACGTAGACTATATTATTTACGACGGATGAAAATATTCTGGAACTGATATCAAAACATGATAATACGTTCATAGAATTCAATAATGGGATGTCAGATTATGAGGAGAAAGAAACAATTCGCCCAATAACAGCAACAACCAATGATGTAAGTGAGAGAATTATTTGTACACACATAATATATTCATTCAGGGATATACATGTGTTTTTGTATGTATAATGTAACAATTTGTTTTAGATTACTTCAGCAAGACATAAAAATAACGATCCTATTGAGAATTTTTCCAATTTATATACCAATAGCAAAATTTACAAGACACCTTCTACCACTCTGTGTTGTAAAGAAGTTCAGTTGATTATTATTTCCAATTGGGGTTTACAGCATCTGGTTGGTGAGTGCATATATTATCGACTATGATATACATATATAGGATATCCCACTTTAAATACAGGCGAATATTTCCGAAACTATTGATAATATCGAAAATATTTGAGCCAAAAATTGAAAAGTTTTGAAAAAGATAAAATCTGTATAAAGTTTTTTTTTATAGATGATGGTGTTGAAATTTTAATTTCAATTTGTAGGTCTTACTGGTATAGAATTAATTGGAAATCAAGGTATAACAGTTCCATTAACGGATGCTAATTTATATTGTAATGTAGAAAATACGCATTTAACGAATCTGATCGACGGACATAATATTACAACTGAAATGGATCACATGTGGTTAGCAGATGTAATATCGAATAAAAGAATTGAAATAACTGTTACTTTTGATACAGATGTGTACCTAACAGGAATGCGGATTTGGAATTATAATGCATCTCTGGAACTATCTTATTGTGGAGTAAGATATCCGATATATATATTGGGCTGAACAGAAAGTTCATTCCGTTTTTTACTAAGAGATGAAGACCGAAAAAACGGCACGAACTTTCCGTTCAACCCAATATTATTCAAACATGAAAATTTTTTATTGTAAGAATCGATTAAGAAAATAATTTTGTTTATTTAGGTAAAACGATTAGTAGTTAAATTGGACGATAAACAATTACACGACGAAAATCTTGAAGGCTTTTTATTAAGACGCGCACCGGGATCTTGTCATTATGATTTTGTTCAAGAAATTAATTTCGCTAATAATCCATCTGCCCAAATGCGTCTTTCGGATCATTCCGCTGATTTAGTTAAATCGCCCGAAGGTATCAGTCATTTATATATATAAACTCTGCACACACAGATATATATAGATATATATATA